CGACAGAATATTTTGTTGATCAAGAAAAATGTTCCTATTTAATTCTATTACACACAACTGCAGCTTTGTGCATAGGGACAACAGCAATGGTAGCGACAGGAACGATGCTGATAGCGTACCTCAAACATATTTGTGGAATGCTTAGCATCGCCAGGTAAAAGAGAATTTGAGCGTTCGTTTCATAAGTTATTATATCTAGTCTGTTTACTCGATCAAAGATTAAAGAATTACAGAAAAAAATTATTCATAGTTATCGCATTGAGAAGGCAATGGCGATTAATATGCAACAAAATATCAACCAAGAGAAAATTATTATAATTTATAAAGGGATAATCTGTGCGGTAGACATTCATCGCAAAGCTACAAAGTTAGTATATATCCAGTAATGTCTATATAATATGTTACTAACATTTATTTATCCCTGAAGGTTTTCCCAAGTTTTAATAAAGAGTTTTGAAGGATCGTTCTTCTTTTTAATAGCGGCTGGTATGGTCTGTTTAAGCAGCACTCTTGTTCAAGTAAGATTTATTTTTTTGTTATTAAATAATATATCTTACTATAAAAGATATCTTTTTCATTATATTGAGATTAATTAAAAAATCTTTAGCTAAAATAATATATGGAAAAATAATTTATTCGCAATTTAAAACCAAGAATCAAGAAATCAGGAGAATTGTTATCCTTTACAAACATATGATTTATATACGTATTTTACAAAATTTCAAAGTTTTCTTATGTAGAATATACAATTTAAAAAATGGACTATTACGTAATGCATACTCTATAACCTGTTGTAAAGAATTATAGAAAATTTATTAAGGTTTTTATATGTAAGAAATTAAAATACACAGGTAATTTTATATTTTTTTTTATACTTTAGTCTTATATTTTTCAGATCGCATTGTACAACGATACCGTAGAGCAACTTATACTACCGCTTATGTTTATAAGTGTCCTCTACGTATACATGTTTTTATCCAACTATACTGCACAGGAAGTTACAGATCACAATGAATACGTATTTGCCACAGTGTAAGAAACATTTGCATCGTACGTTTATACTCAAGTAATCAATTTGCAAAATTTTTTAACAAAAATTGAAAGTTATATTAAAATTCATGAAAGTATTATATTTAAAACTAATACGATTTCTGAAACGAATATGCATACTATAACAATTATCGACAAATATTTTTATTTTTTTATGATTCTGAATATCAGTTCGTTATTGTTTTGTAGGTATAATGTTCAGTGGTACATGGCTCCGTTACCCATACAGAAAATGATGTTATTCTTGCTACAAAAGGGCACTAAGGCTTTTCATATAATCCTCGGTGGAATATTTATTGCATCCATGGAAAGTGCTGCTACGGTAAATATATAACCGTATATACTACAATTCATAATAGAGTTTTTTATTATTCCCACGAATATATTGTTTAAACGAATATTTATTTTGAGATTTTCACAACTTTAGAATCATGCTTTGATGAATAGAGAAAAAGCAGCTCTATTAACAAAATTATATTAAGAATAAAATATAAATTATCAGCGCGCTCACCAAATTAAAAAAAAATAAAATAAAGAGTAAAGAAACTTTTTAACTTTAACTTCAAACATATTGTCCCTCCATTAATTTAGAGTATTTAAATAACAGCCAGTTCACCAAACCTTTAATATAGCTTCTTACAGAATAAAATAAAAA